ACACCTTGGGCTCCAAGTCCGCGTCTATAGAACTATCGCGTATCGCTATGGACATGAAGATTTGCATAGAACAAATGCGCGAACAGGTGCAAAACGTTGAATAAAAATAAAGTTTTAATCTCCAGCCATAAATGCAACCCAGAAACAGCGCCAAATCAGCATCTAGCCCTAAAAACCTCTGTAACCCGCATGAATACTGGGCTCGCAAGGTTTTAACCCCCAAAGTCCACTTAAAGCATAAAAATGCCTCCAGCCCGCATGAATACTGGGCTGGCACGGTTTTTAAGCCTTATGCGTGATATCGTCCCATGTATCCACCCAAATTCTGGGATAATCGCTGCCTATGGACTACCCTGGTAACCTTTTTGTAGTAGCTGCGCCCAGCGGGGCTGGCAAATCCAGCTTGGTGAAGGCTTTGATGGAGCTTGACGGCCATGTGCAGCCCTCCATTTCCCACACCACGCGCGCACCGCGCGGGCAAGAGGTGGATGGACGCGAGTATTTTTTCATCAGCCCCGCCCAGTTTGAGCAAATGGTAAAAGAGGGCGCATTTTTAGAATATGCCCAGGTGCATGGCCATTATTACGGCACTTCCAAAGCTGCTATAGAAAAACGCATACTCTCAGGCAAGGACGTGATTTTGGAAATTGATTACCAAGGCGCCCTACAAATAAAAAAAATATTTGATAATGCTATACTTATTTTTATTTTACCGCCCAGTTGGCCTGAGCTAGCCCAGCGCTTGCAGCGACGCGGAGAAGATGCTCCTGAGGTGATTGCGCAGCGCTTGAATAATGCGCGTATAGAAGTGGCTCAGGCGCAGCACTTTGATTTTGTTATAATTAACGAAGTTTTTGAGAGGGCTGTTTTTGATCTCAAAGCCATCGTTCATGCCCAAAGACTAAAGTTCGCTGCCCAAAAAAGAGCGCGGCAGGATACTTTTTCCAGTTTGCAGATCGTTTGATTTTGCAATTTTTCCATATACTTAGGAGCTGCCTCTCATGGCCCGTATTACTGTTGAAGACTGTTTAGTCAAAATCCCCAACCGATTCCAATTGGTGCTTGCAGCGACATACCGAGCGCGTATGTTGCATCATGGCCATACCCCGCGTGTCCCTAGCAACAATAAACCAGCTGTGACTGCGCTGCGTGAAATTGCTGAGGGGCAGGTCGGCGCTGAAATGCTCAAAAAGGTACCTTCTTA